TGTTAATGAACTCCGGCACGAAGTACTTTATTATACGTTAGTAATTTAAGTAAGAGTATTGCAATAAGTGCGAAAGTTAGAGTACTTGCACTACATGCGTAAGTTTTAAACCATTTCCAAAAGATGCAAAGATATAAACAACTGCTTTCATTGTGTGTAACAAAAAATAGTCAAATTCTATAATCGATACTGATCTTTCTCTAGATGGGAATTATACAACTAGCGGCCCGCCCTCGCTTCGCTGCGGTGTAGAGCTGAAGTGTAGACTACAGTTTTTGTTCTCAGGCTTGTATTATACACAATGACATTCATCTATGATACTTCTTATACCTGCATGCAAAGTCTCAGCCCGATCGGTTTAAAATTGACAAAGTTTCATACAAGCTTTCATTCCCTATTTTATCCCCTTGGGGGTAGAATTGATTAAAATCCTTTCTTAGCGGATGCCTACGTCATAACATCTACCTGCATGCCAAATTTCAGCTCGATCCGTCCAGTGGTTTGGGCTGTGCGTTGATAGATCACTATGTCAGTCAGTCACCTTTGAGTTTATATATATAGATATATTGTATTAAACTTTCATGGTCACTAATATTGCAGCTATTAACGGGATTATTACATACAAACATACATACGAACCACTGGATTTTATACACTTGACAATTTAAACCCATCCACACGATTGAAATTCTTGTGTTTGGTTATTTCAATCGCTTCCCTGACCAATCTTGGCAATTGGTATGCAGTGGCGTTCTGTCGAGATTTTGTGGATTATTCCAGCTCGATCCAGTGATTAGGACCTGAATCAATTAAATGTTCCGCAATGGCTAGATCATTTAATTGATTCGGGTCATAACGTAACCTATATTGGAGACTCATAAAAAACAAGGTACATGGTATTTATACAACATAGTATATTAATAAAAAAATAAATTAAAATTTACTTGTCTCAATGATCACGGACATCAAGAGGTTGTTGAAGAAGTGGCGGTAGAAGTCATGACGTCATACTCTACTTTAGTTAGGCTTATTTGACTACCCATATCAGCTCTCCTGTACCTCTTCTTCTTTTTCACTTGTCTATCCATTCTGTCACATATATCTACGATGCTATCTCTCAATTCGATTGGAATATCTTTTACAATAACGTCACGAAGAAGACTATTCCTGACTTCGCTATTCACTACGTCATAGCTTTTACTCGGGCGCTGCGATTTTGCAAGTTTACCTTTGATACCCTCACAAAACTTACACAATTTGTCCTTTCTCACTTTCTTTTGTAACCATATCAAACTATGAACACAGCATATGAAAGACAACACTAAGGCACAAATGCCTATCACATAACTAACGATGGCCAGAAGCGCAGTTCTCCAACACCTCCCCAAGTCAGAAGTGTCCGTTCTCGGTATCGGACAAAAATAACCGCGCATAAGATCACGTAAAAAGTTCAAATTCTGTGATATCGTTGAACAATTGGACTTCAGCTCCAATTTGATATCGTCTTTATTCATCGGTCTCGTCACAACGCCTGTTCCTGTGCTTATAGCGTAAATATCTGATACTGTCAGTGGATGTTCCAAATCTCTGCAAGTATTGGTGCTAGGAACGTATGCTACATCTGGAAGTTCATCATCAGGATCTGATTCACACTGAGGTGCTTCTAAACACTTTTCTGCTTCATAGTCATAGAATTGACGCTTCCCACCATACTTCAAATCACAATTGACTGGTTCACAGCCATTGAGAGAATCTTGATCTATCGTATCACATAACGTCTTTTTCTTACCATCAATATAATGTGAGAGGAATTTAGATCTCTTCCTATCGCCCACAGTCTTGGTGTCGAAAGGAATTTTCACTATTTGTTTCTTTGACCGCCTTGTTTTACCGCACCGATATTCTAAAATGAAATCGCAATAACCAACTTGATCATAGGGATATAAAGTAGGATAAACAAATATAAATGTATCTCTGTCTGTCGGCTTTAAGGTGTAAGCTCCCCCGTAGACCTGCATAGTATTACAATCATCTTCGCCATCATTCAAGCAACATTCCTTAGTCGACGTGATTACTCTGCAATTGCTTAACCTATCTTTATTTTCAACATCTACAAAAAAATGTATTCCAATAGAGTCTTTTTCCAATAGAGTGATACCTTTGTCCAAAACAGTGATCGTATCCAATAATTCAAAAGATAAGAAAAGAAACAATAAAACAATTTTATAATATGTTTTTCGTTGAAAACATTGCATCGCAATGTGCTGACAAAGGTTGACAGCTATGGTTGACAGTTTTGATGAGAACGCGCAATACAAAGAGACCAAAAAACACTATAATCATTAAAAAGCACAACACTAATTTGAATGGCACATTTTTATAGTCCATTTTCTATTAATTGATTTTGGTGGCACAGCACACAAGCCAAGAAACCTTGTTCTACCTTAGTATGTGCTTAGATTTTGACCGTGCAGCTAGCCTTGTGTCGGTAACTGTTAGAGCAATTGAAATAGCGCGGTAAATGATAAGCAGTAATAAGATAAATGAATGAATAAACACAATAAAATATATTTTCACAAGATTATCAATTTAGTAGACAATAGTGAATAGCAATTGAAAGACGTTCATATAACAAATCATAAAAGCTTAACAGTAACAGCACCAACACTCCTCTTCACTGAACTGCAAGTTCATCATGACAGTCCCAGGCTGCTCCGGAGTTTCAATAGTCTTGGACCAGCCAGAGCCTTGGTCAATATGTCTGCCTCCATAATTTCTGTTGGCAAATACTTGGTTTCTTTTATGTTGTCTTGAACGCAATCTCTTATGAAATGCATTTTCAAATCAATAGGCTTCGATTTAGAAGTCACCATATCGTTCTTGCTTAATTTTATAGCAGCTTAATTATCATTCATAACTGTGATGGTATTACGTTCGACTCTAAGATCTTTGAATAGTTTTTTAGATGTATTGCTTCTTTAGCCGGTTCCGTGAGTGCTATGTATTCTGCCTCTGCGGTTGAGAGAGCCACGCATTTCTGTTTTCTGGAAGACCAGCTTATGATGCTATACAGTTTACCTACAAAGTAGAATGCCCATGTTTGGTACAGCTTTTCAAGATAAAAATAATATGATAATTATTTTCATTAATTTATACGTACGTTGGTCTATCAGGATGGCTATTTTGAACAGGGAATAATTTTAGAAGTCATAGTACTGTTTATATTTTGAGCCGGATATCTGACGTTTGTTTATCTATCGTAAAAATAGTGATGCTATAGTACCCTATTAATTATACATTTTTGTTACCGTATGTATGTACCATCAAAAAGCAAATAAATCACGTGTTACTAATTATTGTTTAATAGTGATTTTACGTTTTTATTGTCTTAACGGTTGCGATGACAACTCGTCATTTTATCTATTTCGTCTCTATGTTTAATACGTCACAGTCAATAACCCGTCGCTTGCCTTAACTCGACACTTTCCTATCACGTCTCTTTCTGTATATTGTGACTTCTTACTGGATGTAACGTGTTAAGCATAGAGACGAAAAAGATAAAATGTAAGTTGTGTTGGAGCATATAGTCGGACAAAAAGAGGCACGTGCTTACCCAGCGCTTTGTGCTGCCTACGTAGTCTAAGGGGCCGTCCATTTATTTATTTAGTATATTATTATTTTGTTTAAAATATTTATAAAATACAGGTATAAAGTATCAAGGTTGCAGGTTGTTTTTGACTGACATAAAAATAATGAACGAAATGCGAAAAAACTTATACATGAACATAATTTAATGTACAGTATCCTCGGACCACGGAAATACACGTGATATATTTGATCGTTGATTGGTACTTGTTGTGGGCTCCTGTTTCCGCACGTAGACTCGGTACTTGGTCCATTGTGCGTACAGGGTATGTTGGGCTAGCTAGCTCAGCCAGCCCAGCTCCTTCCAAAAGCGCAGTAGCTTCCTGGGGCTCTCAGAGGCTTCTAGGAGCGTCCTCGGCTTCTTGAGGATTGATGCCCGGTGTTCTGCAACGCTCGTGCATTCCAGGATCACATGAGCGGCCGTTTCGTCTGCTTCCAGACATCCTCTGCATAGAGAGCTATCTCTAACGCGTATGGTTAGTAAATGCTTGTTAAGTAGGCAGTGCCCTGTTATGGTGCCTAGCATTACTTGGAGATCATTTCGGTTGAGATTTAGTAGTTTTCTAGTTAGTCTGGGGTTGAGGTTGGGAAAAATATCCTTAGATTGCCTGCAGCCCTCGGTATTCGCCCAACAGGTGTTATGGTTCTGTGTGGTTCGTTGCCGCACCCATGTACGAAACTGATTGAAAGGTAATAGCAGAAGTGGCTCAGGGCCTTCCACTCTCTGTGATGATCCCCTTCTAGCCAGTTCGTCGGCTGCGTCATTACCCAAAGGTTGATTGGTAATATCATCACTGAAATTGAGCTTTGAGTCAAAAGTTGCACCTAGATCTCGCATTTAACTTTCAGCTAAATGTTATTAATATGATAATGGGTAATGTTCTCGTAACATGGCAAAAGAAAGAGTGATTTAGCAAAACATAAGGTAGGTAGGTCATAGCGGATTTTCCGTGCATCACCCATCTGGGGAAATAACTTCCACCTTACAGAAGACCACGGTAAAATAACACAATTGTGTTGTGTTTCTCTCAGTAAGGTTCCAGGGAAGTAAGGAAGGGGGTCAGGGTAGGCAAAGGTATGAATGATAGTTTTGAAATCACAAGCGTCTATAGGCTATGGTAGACGCTGACCATTAGATGTTGACAGATCTAATGATAGAGTCAGCAGGTGGCGTACAGGACAGCCCAAGATACAACTCGTAGTAAAACTTGTTCTTAAAAGTTTTTTATAGTTAGTACTTATGCGTTTATTTTTTTAGCTTTTCAGGTAACTATATGACCCATTTACTAAACGCTAAGTTCACAACTATTGTTTTTTCAAGTTTGTACAGTCCGCGTATCTGAGAACTTAAACCTTTAAAAGCATTGTTTTTAAAATTTGTTATTTCACTCAGTTTCATAATAATATTCGAGAGTAATAAAATACAATGTACTACAATGACTGTATTTTAGTGTTTAAGGATTATAATAATAATAATAGTTTATTGGAACCACTTTACATTTTCGTACATGATAATGTGAACCCTGTGCTCTGGAAAAGGTTACCCTGAGGACAAGAAAACAGTGCTCTTCCCCATTATTGTTGCTTTAGAGCAACAATAATTATATTATAATATTTAGAGACATTATCATATTAAATTATTATTATTAAAAAAAATACTACATAATTCTAAAGTTCATTAGGAATCAAGCTGCCTGGTTTCTTCTCACAGATGAAAGGTAAACGAGCGCTGTCACACCACAGGTCATCCAGGAGGCCTGTACGGAACACCCCTCCGCAGAACGAACCTTTGTCTAAACCCTTGTTGTTGTCTGGCTGGCCACTTGCGAACGTCGAATAACCAGCTTTTTCAAGAGATTCACCTGTAAAAAAAACTTTGTCAAAATAGGAGATAATATTTGAAGCTAGCAGATATCCAGCACGTGCTTTTAAGAAAGAAATAAAAATTTGCGCGTAAACCAAAAATATTCGATATGTGTAAAGATGTTTGTATTAGAAAAGTTGAAAATTGACTTCATGAATGTGCCTTATGCATATTTAAACCATCCTGGTGGTCTGAAACCGCCTTTCAAATAAGACTGGTTAGGAGAACAAAGTTTGAAAGTCTATACGGTGCTAAACTTTTGTGTTTTATTTCTTTCGCATGGTTATATTTCAACTTAAACTTAAGGTAAATCGATTTAAGAAACTTCTTAAGGCGGCAACATCGAAGACAGAATTCATTTCAAATGAGACTCCGAAGCATTCGCTATTGTTATTTTAAGTCTCGAGAGTCAATTGAATTTTTCAAGTAAATATCTTGAGACAAAAAAGACGATATATTAAAAAAAACAGTCTTCGTCTAACTTACCGTGAACAGTATACCAGTTGCCGTGTCCTCCCCAACTGTAAAACCCTATGGAGGCGACATCTTTGTAAGCAGACCCAATTTTTTCCTTCGGGTGTTTTGCGAAGACATCCTTGATGACCTGCACCTCGGTATCGCCGTTGATGATGGCTAGGTACCCCCCCTCTGCCATACAAGTCATATAAGCACGTCTCCAGGTACGTCCAGCTGTGTGGAACTTGTAGCAGCTTCCGGTGCGAGCGTCCAGGACATATTCTAAAACAAAATTGATATTCGAAAAGTAAAATTTGGTAAATACTGGGTTATCATGGCGATTTATGTATTCATCTCCGCATTCAATCCAGGAGGCCTATGCCCATACGTGGAGGACATTTATAAGTTGATGGTAATAATGATGAGATTAGTATTAATAAAAAATAAACAAAGGGCAGCTTCTGTGAATTCTGAAATGATGAACTGACGGCACTCGTAAATATTGTAGGCAATGAGCTGGTCATAGTGCGCTGTTGTTTCTGGACAACATTTTAGATCTAATTAAAGACAAATTTGGTATCTTATTACTGTAGATGCGATATAAGTGAATTACATGTAGAAATTTAAGTTATGTATATATTTTTGTTTGATATTATCGTATCTTTGATCCTCTTCCGAGATCAAAATAATTAATAATCAATGAACGCGGATGCTAGATCCGTGGCCAGAGAGAGTAAAGGTTATACGACGACAATTTTATTGCTTGAGACGTAGGCATCCTCTAAGAAAGGATTTTGATCAATTCTACCCCCAAGGGGTTAAGACTTTTAACCCATGCGTAGCTTTGAATGTACATTAACCACCCATGCGTAGCTTTGAATACCACAACCACATTCACAGTATTCGTTCCCTTATCTGTGCATTGAGCGATGTCAACGCAGTTTCACTATATTTGTATACCTTTATCGACGGTTCCACATGGTGTTAGAACCGGGTTATCAGTTTTCTTCTTATAGCAAATGTAGGGATAGGTGTCGTTGCAGCGAACATCAGCTAGTGACCCGTTCTGCAGCATGATGGTGCAATCCTCATTGTTCTCATAGTTGTCTGGTTCGTCAGGAGCCCATGTGACTGGTAGCTTGTAGAGAGGAATGCCTGAGATATTTTTGCAAATATTAAAAAAGGAAGTGTTTACACTATAGGTTATTAAGAATAAGAGGAGAAGAGGTTAACATGATGGTTTCTTTCCAATATTTAATATAGTGAAAACTAAAAACCGGAGCAGAAAGAGGTAAGTTCCAACAAATAGAAGATTAAAGTCAGGTTCATGATGAAAGGAGATTGGTCAAATTGGCCTAAATGCAAATAATATATTGACATATATAGTAATTCTTGGCGTAATTTATTTTACAGTCATTAGATTTTAACGGCCACCTTTAAATAATATATTAATTTTAAAAAAGGACTTCTATTTTTACCGGTTTGGAAAACATACGAATCATTTTTATTGGCTATGGGTGTAGTAACATTCACAAAGACTGATCGAGGTTGTTTATATAACATCAAAACAAATCTATTTTGTAAAGATTGATAAAATATATTTTTTTTTATTACACGGGTGGTATTAATATCCACAACTTTATTATCATTTTTACTACATGCAAATGTGCTAAGACAATTAATATAGATGGTAGGCGACATCATAAAGTCTATTGCCGTACATTTTTTACCAAACACCTAAATAAACACATTATAAGGTGTGATACACTAAAAATCTAAAATATGGTTATAATAAAAACATAACAAAAATAATGAAGCTGCTGAAGATATGGCTGTATAACCTACAGCTCTTAGCTTTCTTTGATTAACGAGAGTTTAAAAATTCTCTCTAATCTGTGGCTCATTCACAATCATCACACAGTTTCTGTTCGTGTTTTAAAAACATGCACATATCTGTTATTTTACATGCTCTATATACCTGAATCTAATACATAATATCGGTAGGTACTTGGCTTGATTGCCCTATTTTCCTATATAAGTTATTTGGTTTTTATTATTCTAATACCTATGTGCCTATTTGCAAACATAACCTCAAAATCATTCAGTGTATATGGTTTATACAAGTTCTCAGGAGTGGCCGTCGATAATATTCGTTTCTACGGTAATTTATATATAATTTCGAATGTAGGAAACAATTTTTCATGGTTATTGGGTTTTAGGCCAAACATGTATGGAAGCTGAGCAATCTCCTTTGTAGCTCAAACTACTTCCTGGTAGTCGGATAAAGTTACTTTGGCTGTCTGGTCTGGACAGTTGTTGACTTGGACTTCAATTCCTACCGATTCGATATTTTCAAAACAAATTCACTTACAATTAGAGTGCAATTAAACAAATGTCAAAATAATAATCTCAAAATTATACCTAATTGAAAAGAGGTCTCTTTGTGTTTAATAAAGGTACTATTCCGTGCATCGCGATGGATCACGGCCGCGCGCGGCCATATCGCGACAATAGGCTAGTTGACTCATGTCAAATTGCACTATACAAATGTTTAATTCTTATAATTTTTGGTGTGAGGAACCTAAATACATCGATTTCACTTCATAGAATTAGAAGATGGCTGTAGTAATTTAATTTTAAAAATAGATTTTTAGTCTATGCTTTTTAAACACAAAAAACGCTGTCCACCATGATTGTGACGTCAACATAATAGCAAAACAACTAAACGTCATTGTCGTGTTACTGTGGTTTCTTTCGTCCGACTAAAATATATCTAAAAACTCTTATACCTTGAAGAAAAGTTTCCGTTTTTGGTTTTCTTAACTAAATTAATGCTGCCGGATTTGTGAAAGCAGAAACGACAAAACTTTTTGACTTAGCAGGTACATTCCTAACCTTAAAAATTGAAAACCCACAACATTTCTGGAGTTTTAACGATGTGTTTAAAGAAACACGAGAATAAAGATTCTCGTATAATACAATCATGATAATTACTATATTTATCATGAAATCTATTTGAAATCATGGTTTTGTAATGTAAATTCAGATAGGTTATATCCTACGTGCTTGCGAGTGTTTGTTTACTATTGTTCCCGAGTATGCAAATGTATGGCACCGCTACCGAGGCCGGTGACAGACGCGCGCGGCCGTGTCTCAAAGTTAGTCGGTGTAGTTCGGCATAGCCCTCTAGACGTGTGTCTACCGAAGTCAAAATCATGGTCGAAGTACTAACCAACATTCTTGAGGAAGAAGAGGAGGATGACCAGCTGCTGTTGTTATATTATGAAAAAAGAGAACCAATCGACCCTATTTTTAAAAGCAGAATTGAAGAAGGATACTACCAAATATTGATTCGAAAGCATTTGTATTGTAATGAAAAAAGTTTCGGAAGTTTTCACCTGCGTTCCTAGACATGTTTGCGCCATGAAATCCAAGATGTTACTGAGCGCTGAGCACGCACGACAGTCGTCGGCCGCACGCGTCAGTCGCCGGCCTAGGAAGCGGTGCCATACATTTTCATACTATGACTATTGTCGCGAGCGACCGACGACAGTCGTAGGCCGCGCGCGGGCGCGATCGATCGCGATGCACGGAATAGTACCTTTAACCTTAGATTAAAACAAAAAGGGTAGATACGGTACGCTCATACTTGCATCAAACAAAAACTGATCCCACGGCAGCGCGAACGGAACGGCGAGATCCGCGTCACTGCATTACCGACCCGAACGAACCAGCACGTTAAGTTTCAACGGCAGCGCGAACGAGACGGCGCGGCGAGATCCGCGTCACTGCACTACCGACCAATCACGCGACCAGTACTCGATGTCACTACCGAATAAGATTCAAAACAAACAGCATTTTTTATGAAAAAATATATTTTATAGTACTTACGAATGAAAAGTGATGCAGTGGGTTTTATTTTCAGTCCTTGAGCAAATTGAGCACTTTTTACAAACACATTTAGGCATTGTTTTATCATATAAACACAAAATATTAGCAATATTTCTTTTTGGCGTTCACATGTACGTCGTTTGCATGTCAAGTTGTGACTAAAGCGATTAGGGTCGTGGACCACAATTCATGCGGATCACTTTTGTGAGGCTAGTGCCGTAACTACCCTTTTTGTTTTAATCTAAGCCTCTAACCATTCATACGATTGTCATTTTAAAGAAAGTTATATTATGAACTAAGTCGTTTTATTTACCTTCGACGGTTGCGAAATCTCCTTTAGAAAAGACCGCGTGCACTCCAGTGAAGATGCCGCAAGAGTCAGTGTGATTTTTGGCAAATTTCATCATGGCTTGCTGCAGATCTATAGTCAATGGAGATGCTACGTTTGACCCTGAGGAAGACACGCATAGTTCTTTTATTAATGATAGCTTAGGAAATATTTGTCTCCAGTTTGCAATCCAAATCTGCAGGTTTAAAAAGGCAATAAAAAATTTAACTGAATATAAGACAATATCTTTTTATGGAAATTGTAAAAGTAATTAAACAAATGCGTTGCTCAGAAAACAAAGTTTTTATTTATTTTAGTATGTTGGTTAAAACACGTATTATTCACTACACTTTTCACTATCTACTATAAATCATACTAACTTACCTAAAAACAAAGAAACGACATTTAAAAAACTTGTAGTTGTTACAACAATTCCTTCGTCTACAATAATATTGTAAAATAATTAAAAAAAAATGGGTGCGTGTACTTATATGTAGGCGCGTGAGAAGTTATCCTTCTTTGGCATCGTTTAAAATTAGTTTTTAATTGCATGCAAATAATTAATTACAATAAATTAATAAAAAGTCTGGAAAAGGACACAGACAATAAAGTTCAGTTTAAATTTAAAAAAATTAATAAATAATCACAATATTCAATTAAAATCGCTACTGAATATAATTTATTAGAACATATGTGATTTGCACTTGTATGAAACTCAAACACGTATTCCGAATATACAAACTAGAAACATGTGGATAAATATTATAAATATGAATACCTATAACTGTTACTTTATTACAAAAAATAAAGATGTGGTTTTTGGTTCTACTACACCAATGGTCAAGAGATGGCGCTGTAGTCTCCTGAATCGCGCTTTGGTTCCGTTGTTCCAGATTAATAAATACTTTTGATAGGCCTTCACAATGCAGTCGTTAGCACCCACTAAATAGAGATTCTATTTCTATTTTGTTGGTAGATTTTCTTAATGTGCGGTAAACACAAAAGTAACAGCATGAAGTTGGTCGCTAAAGCGACCAACTTCATGCTGTTAAAAATTTGCGTTACAGTGATGCGCGCGCATCTTAAAATTTCACTCTCATCATTTTTTCATAACGCGCCTAAAGAAGTATAACTTCAATAAAATATCACGGCACGTTATGTCAACGCGACACCATCTATGTGACAGTTTTATTATTATGGTCGCCTAAAGCTATACAAACTACTTAAGAATAACTAATTAAACAACTGACTGTAAAGAGGTTCTTTACATCTCCCCCCTTACAGAAGAAAGTTTTCAGACTCAAATCTTATTTTCTAAAATTATTGCAGTTTACTCCTTAAGAATCGATTTGCATATATAAGGGGCCCGGTATGAGAAAAATGTGAGGAGTAAAATATATCGATGAATGACCTCGTTACGTTTTTGGTGCGCATCCTATGTCGCGCAACTTTGATAATCAAAGAAGACGGATTGACATTAATATTTTTTTTAAAATCTGAACTGAATTTAGATATAGTTTCTGATAGAGCAATGGGGACAACGAGGTATGGTACAACCATTGATGCGGTATTTTCAAGATTCGTGAACCACGTATCTATGAACGTCCATGTGTCTTATTTTAGTTACCATAAACCACTTGTCACTGTAATTAATAATGCAGACAATGTTGATTTAATTAATATTTAAAAAAAATGATAATAGTCTGATAATAATAATTACATAATTTACCAACATTCCTAATGATATATTTATGCACATCTGAAATTGACTATTGTAAAAAGTTTAATGTAAAATATTTCGTCGATTAGTTATAATAAATGTATATGAAATGAATAAATATATATTTATATGTGAACATTGTTTTCATTAATTTGTTAATTTACCCTTTCATACAGTATCAATCTTTTTTAAGTTAAATAAACTCTTTTTGCGTCTGGTTAGACTTTCGAACTTAAGGAGTAAACTCCAGTCGTGCGTCGGAGCTGACACACACATTTTTTAAATATAGATATCTATTTTGTTTTCTATTTAATTCATTCTAATTTATCAGTGTACGTATTGGTATAAGCTTTGTGATATGACATCTATCATAGATAAATGATTGGTCTCGCTTCACTCAACTAGATACCGCGCTGTCAAAAAAAAAACAGCTCCGTAAATGCGGCAATAAATATATTTAGTTTTAAGTCGGTTTTTTTTATATATTAAAAAATATTTAATTTTCCAATTTTTAGTGTTACACAGAATACGCTACTATTTGGAAATTGTACAAGCGTAGATCCGCACGGGTAAAACCGTGAGACATTGCTAGTAAATTATATACTAAAACCTTCTCAGAAAATGCGTATTTACGCATTAATATGCGCAAAAACCCCATCCAATGAGGGCTACCGTTTTCTGTCTCACCAGATGGCGCCACTGTTGAGTAAGGTCCTAAATTGTAACTTTTAAAGTTTATTAATACGCACATGAAATCAAAGGTTACATTTAGATCGTATTTTAACACAAAAGAACCATATCCTAAACATAATAGGCCATGCCACAGTGACGCCCAGTTCCGTTTTATTCGGAAAAAAAGGGAACATAATTATTTTTCTAAGCTCAAATTTTTAATAACTGACATTCATTGCCACATAACTCATATTTGCCATAATTAAGCCGAATTGTTACCAATTATTCACAACATTATTTTAATAAGAAATAAACCCGCGTAGTCAACCAACAAGCAATAACATTTGACATTTCGGAGACCTCACGCTACACTAGCGCCTCTAGCGGCGGATTCATACGCGATAGCCCTCATTAGGATCTGTAGCTTTGAGATTATCATACATACAGATCAAACCGAGAATATCCTTTTTAGAAGTCTGTTTAAAGACCGACTGTGCAGCCGGAACAGCAGCAATATAAAAAATAGAATAAACTCTAAGTATAAACAAATGTTTCTTAATGCGTTAGTTAAGTTAACTTGTGTTTATAAATATAAAATGAATTGTTTATTTGTCATCGTAACCCTAAAATAATTTAAATAATATGATGAAATTAAAAAAAAACGCAACAAGTATGGTAGTTAATATGCTGGATTGTGAAACTAAAAATTGTGTTAATAATAAGAGTCAGTTTACAAGGAATTGTGTTGAATTTTTTTTATTAAAAATAATAATAGAATATCATAGGACTAAAAGGTAGATTACAATACAAAGATAAACGTTGAATAATATAAAACTAGGTTAAGTTCATTTGCAAGTTTAATAGTAAATTTAAAGAACATCGGTTCAATAATAAAATACACTAACAATAAATTCACATTATAAATAAAAATTCCAACCATAGGGACTAGATTCTTGAATACGCGGCAACACCTGAATGACGTTTAGTGTTCATGTTATTTTATGTTGAAATTTCGAAATTTTACTATACTTATTGATGTTATGTGATCCCAGCGTCCTTGTTATTTATTGCTGTATTATATCTCTACATAAACTGGCATTTTACTTTCGATTAATACCAAATTTCAATAAAACATTCACTACGTACACCCCAAACACAACTGTCAGGTTGACTGGCTCGGTGAAAGCTCGGGTATGCCGATTTCGGCATAGTATTTGTTGCCGCATTAGGCTGCGTTTCCACCAGAGATGTGCGATGGAAATTTGTCGTGCGAGGATGTCTAGCTGTGCTGTGAAAATGTGTGGGGATTTCCACTAAAGCTGTGCGATGAAAATGTGCCTACGAGGATGTGTAGCGGAGCTGTGAAAATGCGCATTAATGTATGGTGCGAGGATGCGTTGCTTTATCTTCTGCTTCCATTTCGTCATCGCAAATTGTTAAATATAACAGTATCTTCTTTTTCCAATTATTCATATCTATTTTGTGCACTTCTACTTACAACAAACTTCGTCTATGGACTGGCTGGTACAGTATGCGCAAACCTCGCAACACATCCCTCGTACACATCCCTCGCACACGTCCCTCGCTTGTTTTGTATGCGCAAAAATCTAGCTCCGCTGAACCGTTTCCACCAGAGCTGTGCTGACCGAGGCGAGGTAAATGAAGCAATACTATTGGTTCTTTACAAACACATCCCTCGCTATGCATCCTCGCACATCTCTGGTGGAAACGCAGCCTTAGACAAGTACGCCGGCGGTATCTAGTCGAGTGAAGCGAGACCAATATTCATCTATGTTTAGTATGTAGGTCTAAACACGTATTATTCACTACACTTTTCACTATCTACTATAAATTATACTAACTTACATAAAAACAAAGAAACGACATTTAAAGTCTTTTACTTATTACAACAATTCCTTCCTCTACAATAATATTTTAAAATAATCAAATAAAATATCACGGCTCGTTCTGTCAAAGCGACACCATCTATGAAATGACAGTTTTATTAATATGGTCGCGCAGGACCATATCGCTAAGGACCGGTGTGTACGACATAGCCCGAAGAGTTAGCACACTGAAGTGACAATGGACAGGCCACATCGCTCGAGGACCAGACAACCGTTGGGTAAGAAACGTCCTCTAGTGGCGACCACGTACCGAACGACGCAGCGTGGGGTGGCCCCCGACAAGGTGGACTGACGACATCGTCAAATGTGCTGGGAGCCGCTGGATGCGGATAGCGCAGGACCGCGCATAGTGGCGTTCTATGGGTTGAGGCCTATGTCCAGCAGTGGACGGAGAAAGGCTGATGGATGGATGGATGGTCGCGCGAGAGCTATACAAACTAATTAAGAAAAAAAAAATGGGTGCGTGTACTTATGTAGGCGCGTGAGAAGTTATCCTTCTTTGGCATCGTTTAAAATTAGTTTTTAATTGCATGCAAATAATTAATAAAAAGTCTGGAAAAGGACACAGTCAATAAAGTTCAGTTTTAATTTGAAAAAATAAATAAATAATCAAAATATTCAATTAAAATCGCTACTGAATATAATTTATTAGAACATATGTGATTTGCATTGTATGAAACTCAAACACGTATTCCGAATATACAAACTAGAAACATGTGGATAAATATTATAAATATGAATACCTATAACTGTTACTTTATTACAAAAAATAAAGATGTGGTTTTTGGTTCTACTACACCAATGGTCAAGAGATGGCGCTGTAGTCTCCTGAATCGCGCTTTGGTTCCGTTGTTCCAGATTAATATATACTTTTGATAGGCCTTCACAATGCAGTCGTTAGCACCCACTAAATAGAGATTCTATTTCTATTTTGTTGGTAGATTTTCTTAATGTGCGGTAAACACAAAAGTAACGCAAGCGACCAACTTCATGGTGTTAAAATTTTGTGTTACAGTGATGCGCGCTCATCTTAAAATTTCACTCTCATCATTTTTTCATAACGCGCCTAAAGAAGTATAACTTCAATAACAAATTAAATAACTGACTGTAAAGAGTCTTTTTATAATTTTTGACGTGACAACGTCTTAAATTAGGTTGCGGCTGGGAGTCACTTATGAAAAAGTGTAACGCTCGGTAACGTTACGATGAGTCTCTCGTGTTAAGTTTAAGTTTACATGTACAATGTTTTAGTAAACAAAATATATTTCTATAGTTAAAATTTGTGCAATTCTTATTTTCATTCAATTCCTTGTTCCTATTGTGTAATTTAATTATATTCATATCAATAAATATTCTACCGAGAAAAAGACGTTGTCACGTAAAATCTTCGCCCGTAAAACCGACTTTACAGGCAACCATTTTTTTTTTGAAGAAAATGGTTGACTTACGTTTTACAAGTGGTATACCTTATAGGTGGTTAGTGTAGAAGTATTTGATTGTAGAATAGGTTTTTACCTTCAGCTTTACACCTCAGGAATGCATCAGTGAAGGTGGCCGGCACTAGGTGGAACTTCATCCAGCCGCCCGCTTCGTGGCTGTACTCATAGTCAGTGCGGTACTGGCTGCTCTCTGTTGGGAAGACGTGGAGCTATAAAATTAAACTGACAAAAACAATATCGTTCTATTGTAGTAACAGTGAAATCAACGACAACGCACTATTCTATCGTCTACAGACCAATACGACCCTTTTAAATCTATTTTGACACTTGAAACTTAACAACAATTTGCACTTTAAAGCTTAATATTTTACAAACGGTACCCCAAGTGCGAACTTTGACAGCTCCTTATTCGTATCGCTATCGTCAAAGTTTCTAAGGAGACTAAGCAGCGCTCCTACCGGACGTAAGAACAAACTAGCTACTTCCATAGAAACTTTGACAATTATACGAAACGAATACTTTCTCGCTGAAAAAGTTATCTTCACATGCTCTCAATATTTATTAAAGAACTATCCTAGGACACATAGCACTAAATGATTTTATCCTGACACATTACTACTTTATATATAATATTAAAAATAATCTTTACTGTTACAATACAAAAACAATAAAAAAACATAAAAAGGCTAAAATTATAAGTCCTGTGATATTTAAATCTAAAGAAAATAAAAAGAAAATAAAAAGAAAATTTAAAAAAATCCACGCGGGCCAGACAGCAGACGGGACTCGAACCCGCACCCTTCGCAATCCGGGCGAATGCACTGACCAATTATGCTACCGCAGCCCTCACGGACCGTGTCGAAATTCTTCTAGCCATTTTTAAGCTGCAAGGCAACGCCATCTCTTCGCATTATAGGTAACCCAAAATGTCAAATGAATACTTTTACAAGTATTCAACATTTGAAAGAAGAAATAGCAATTATAGTTACAATTTTTATTATTTTAAAGCATGTAACTGCTTGATGTTTAAATCTAAAGAAAATATAACTAGAAAAAAATCCACGCGGACCAGGCAGCAGACGGGACTCGAACCCGCACCCTTCGCAATCCGGGCGAATGCACTGACCAATTATGCTACCACGGCCCTCACGGACCGCGTCGAAATTCTTCTAGCCATTCTTCAGCTGCAAGGCAACGCCATCTCTTCATATTATAGGTAACCCATAATGTCAAATGAATACTTTTACAAGTATTAAACATTTTAAAGAAGAAATAGCAATTATTATAGTTATAATTTTTATTATTAATATTATTTTTATTTTTGTGATATATCATTATGAAATGTATACAATTGGTACCAGTCTCAGCAGAGTGCTGATTCTGAGCTACTCCCAGCACTAATTTCAGATAGCTCACAGAGCCACCTCTAGCGGATCATTTGATATATCAATGTAGGGGGAACGAACAATGCCCTTTACTAGCCCTTTAGATACGTGGGTAACACTAAAAATGTTTAGAACTGGCCAGTTAGAAACATTGCTAATGAAAACTTTTTTTTAATTTCAATTTTAGAACTCTTTGGTTACCTAATGTAGTATATTGCATTCATTTGTCATTTGTTTTTGTGAATTGGCAAATCTAAAACTCTTGTTACACGTGAAAATGAAGGAAGGAAAGAAATTTATTATGACTTTCTTGTGGGCTTACTCAACAACAAAGCTTTGATAGGCTGCGATTAGCATTTCTTAATAAAGCCCCATCTCGCGCCCCTATTTACAATTGGTTTAAGAGTTTAAACGCAGACGTAGCAATCTCAATGATGATCCACGTGAGGGGCGTCCTTTAACAGCGACTACTGAAGATAACATCAGTGCTGTACGACGCATGATAGAGGAAGATAAGAGAGTGACCTATCAGCAGATACGGGCAAGCCTAGGCATTAGTATGAGTCATGTTCAAAAAATATTACACGAATATTTAAGCGTCAGAAAGCTTTGTACCATATGGATTCCCCATACTTTAAGCGACGACCAGAAACACTTTCGCATGGACTGGTGTCGCCAAATGTTAGATAAGGTCAACGGCTGTGACTCAAATGCTGTATTTGACATCGTCACAGGGGATGAAAGCTGGATATGTTGCTACGAACCCGAAACCAAAAGACAATCAGCTCAGTGGGAGTTTCCTTTCGAGGATTGGCCAACTACAAGGTAAAGAAAGGAAGAAGTCAAGAAAAAAAGATGATTGCCTCATTCTTTGGTCGGAGAGGTCATTACGCGACAGTTGTGCTAGAAGATGAAAGGACAGTTACTGCAGACTAGTATATCAATCGCTGTTTGCCTGCTGTCTTGAAAAAAAATTTCGACAGCAGCGCCCTCGAAGCAGGATCCTCCTTCACCATGACAATGCTTCAGCGCACATGTGTCGAGATAATGAGTCATCCGCCATACAGTCCTTCTTTTTTTTCCGATGACGGGGAGAAAACATGTATTATATCCACGACAATGACAAACGCCACGTTGGTTTGCTGTTAACAAACCCTCGCGACGCAGGTAATTGCGTGGTGCATTCGACAAGCGACGAGCAGCCCGAAGGCCGCTAGTCGGTTGCACTCACGCAAGCGTGGCATACGTCAAAACACCCCGCCCCCGACCGGCAGCCCGGTCCGCACCCGCTTTAGCCTATCCTGGGCTTCTCTGTTCACAGTGTCACCTGACTAGTCTCACGGACCGCAGTCCGAGCGGCTAGCCAGCTGACCAGCTCCGGTACCTACCAGGTAAACCAAATCCCCGATCTACTCCTCACCCTCCAGGCGTAACTGAGGGGTCCAGTTATGAGTCGCCGCTTGTATCCGCCATACAGTCCAGACCTGGCGCCATGCGACTTGCATACATTCCCAAGAACTAAAGATAAAATTCAAGATGTAGTGAAAGCGTACGAAAATGCCATAGAAGAGACCCCTAAGGAAGAATGGGCTATCTGCTTTTCTCAGTGATTCCATCGAATGCGACGATGTGTATAGAGGAACAGAGATTACTTCGAAAAACAATAAAAGTATTGGCAACTTTCTACATTAAACAGTTTCTCATTTTCTTAACATATTCAGTGTTACCTAGGTACAGCTTACAAGAGCATTAGAAGAATCGAAAGTTCTTTTACATAAACAACCATACTAAACTTACCTACACACGCCAAACACAATGTAACAGACACAAGGAAAACACTGGCGAATGACATTGTTTCACTATTTTAAAACGTTAATACACTTATTTTTTATGCAATTAATAAGGGTTCCCTCTTCTGCTTTCAGTGCGTTTATTTGGCACCAATAAAATAGAGTAATTAAAATTCAAGATTTGTTTGACAACGCGAGACTCATCTGAGGACTGGTTTCAATGGCAGTATGATATTGACTGCGTACGTACATGTACGGATTGCAGTGTTTATATAAATATTACTATCGCATACAAAATGAGGTTAAAAAAGAATCTTTAATGTGATTTCGCGTCTTTGTATTTATTATTCTTTGTATTATAGTCAACTAGCTGTTACCCGCGGCTACGCTCGCGTGGTTTTCCTATTTGAGGCTATCATCCTCTTTTGACATAGTGAGTAAAAAAGTAGCTTATTTCTATTAAAATTACGGCGCCTTTCTGCTTGAAGCCGTACATTTAAATCTCTGCGCGCCTGTGCTTGTTCAGGTGTTTCGAATGACCTCAAAAAAGCTTGTCGTTGAGCTTGCTCATCAAGTCTTTGCTGAGTTTCAGCAGGTGTTTCTACAGCTCTTAAAGCAGTTTGACTCCCCGCTTGTAGTCTTTGTTGAGACTGAACATCCGATTCAGCGGCTCTCAAATGAGCCTGCCGCTCTGTCTGCTCCTGAAGTCTTCTCTGTGTCTGCTACAGTGATTCTAAGGCCCTCAAATTCGCTTGACGTTCAGACTGTTCAAGACGCCTTTCCTGAGTCTGCGATTGAGATTCTGAGGCCCTCAAAGCAGTTTGGCGATATGCCTGTTCTTGCCTTCTCAGTTCAATTTCTTCAAGAGATTCTTGCGACCTAGTTAATCTCTTTGCTCGTGCTTGAGAGGATACTCTATAAAGGCTAGATTTGCGTTTGCGCGTCATTATTACGGTGAAGGTAAGTATCTGATTTTTTTTTTAAATAAATTACCTATTTTAACTATTTACCTATTTTCACAAAAACCCAAGATCAATGTGTTAAGTTAATCGTTAAAACGATTGCTTTTTAATATTCCTTTTTGTTTTTTTTTTTAATTTAATTATTTTCATTTAATTATTATTATTTTAATAACAGATACTTAACATATATTATGTAGGTATGTAGATAGGTAATTCGTATTTTATTAAAATCAAGGTATTTACCTATCTAGGTACCTGCCGAAATAGTATGCGCACTTAGTAGATAATGTAGGTAGGTACCAATCAAGGTAGGTAGGTTACCTATCTACAAAGGTATCTACCAAATAGGCAGCCCTTCTTTCAGAGCAACAAAACCAATCAAAAACTACAATTCCATATTATTACAAAAACCAATACCTACCTATGCGTCGTCTATCTTACTGGTAAAAATCGAGGTAGGTAGGTTATAATATTATAATCGTTATTTTTATCGGTGAGCCAAATTTATACATTCGAAGAAACTACCAAAACATCCAGAATCTATAATCACTCGAAAATGGTATTTTTATATTATAAATTTAGAGTAGTATTTGCTAGATTTAATTTTAAAAATGAGATTAGAAAGAAATTGCGTAAAATTACCTCGATTTAATAAATGAAACACTAACACAAAATACTCGGTATCGAACACGAGTGGTGCCATCTCGTATTAAGATAGCAACTTCCACATTTCAAATTTAATCTGTCTTCGTGACAGTAGCCATCTCTATCGGGACCAACCATGAAAATGATTAATTTAATTCGGTTTTTTTCTAATTAAAATAATAGTTGTGAATATTTGGTAATAAATCAGACTTATTATGGCAAATATGAGTTACGTGTCATTGATTGTCAGTTATTTAAAAGCGGAGCTAAGAAAAAATATTGTCCTTCTTTTTTTCCGAACAAAACGGGACTGCGCAACACTGGCATGGGCGATTATGTTTAAGATACGATTCTTTTGTATTAAAATGTAAACTTTGATATCACGAGCGTGTTTACTTACTAACTTTAAAAGTTACACTTCAGAACCTCACTCAACAGTGGCGCCATCTGGTGAGACAAAAAACGATAGCCCTCATTGTTTGAGCCTACACCGACACAAAGTTATGGGCCTACCACACGCACGAGCTTCACCACAGTTTTGCCTGCGCAGGCCGGTTTGTACACGGAACACGGTGCGTGTAGTTGGTAAAACTGTATCACGCGCCAACCCCACAGCGCGGCCTGCGCATTTTTCGACTTGCTTGAAATTTTGCCTGCGCAAGCCCGGCCTGCGCGTACTTGTCTGTGCGTGTGGTTGGGCGTTCAGTGTTCAAGCCACAGTCGAGTGTACTTTGTGTCGAGGCTCGCTCGTCGTTTCATGAGGTCGTTCGTCATCGTTACTCAAAAATGGCAGATTTGCGTACGTACAATCGCGAATTCACGTCTGAATTTATTAGTTTATACAAATCTCTGCCTGCACACTGGAAAATTAAATCTAACGATTATTCCGACCGAAATAAAAAGAACGACGCCTACGAAAGAATGATAAATAAAATGAAAGAGGTAAGAACATAATTTTTGCAACTAAATACCTATGCCTAATACCTACTACCTACCTACTTGCACATATTATGTACATATTCTATTGTTTTTACATGTTTTTTTTTAATAGCAAATACTTGAAAGATAGTAGCATAAGAAATGTTTCTTCATTAGGAAACATTGTTTCCACGCCAATGATTTCGATACGAATGAGGCTTGCGCGTACTTAACTTAACGCACAAAGTGTACAGTTTTTTCGTGCGAGATATGCTTGCGCAGGCCAAACTGTGGTGAAGCTTGTGCGTTTGGTAAGCGCATTAGGGATTGGACATTAAAAGAATGAACGATATTTGAATGAACAGTTCTTGATGAATGAACATAATGTTTGTTTATAATGAAATCAAAAAGTTTCATTTATAAATATCTATCTGAAAGCTTTTTTATACTTTTAGTACTTATGATTTTTATACACAAAATTCAAAGTTTTTTTTTTGCAAATTATATTGCTGAGCAAAAAATCTTTGTAACTGAGTTTGCTGCCTTTTATTGGATACCCTGCCTACATTTAATTGCTTTTACACTCTTAATAATAGCAAACCCAGTCTTTGTCACAAAACACTGCGTAACTGACCCAAGCGTTACTAAATACATAATCCATTCTTTGTTTAATAACACAGTGCGTAACTAAAAAGCTTATCCATTCTTCGTTTAATATAATGAGGTTAGCGAATTCATAGGCTTCAGTGAATTAAGGTTATTTATTTTCCTGATAATGTTTTTCTCAGAGGTTTAAGAAGTCAATAATATTATCATGTGTGATTAATTAAAAAAAAATGTGTGTGTCAGCTCCGACGCACGACTGGAGTTTACTCCTTAAGTTCGATAGTCTAACCAGACGCAAAAAGAGTTTATTTAACTTAAAAAAGATTGATACTGTATGAAAGGGTAAATTAACAAATTAATGAAAATTGTAGTGTATACCTATCGGAAACGTAATTAGGTCATGTCGCAATCCGCTATTTACGTAGATAGTTTTAGCAAGTAAGCAATATTATTAATTCAATTATTTTGTAATGTTTTATTTCACTCAATAAACGGACTTCAAACTATAAACAATGTTTCCATATATAACCAACGATAGGCTAATATTAGATGGCGACCCTTGCCATTCGAATTAGTGTTTGGAAAACTTTGTAAATTGCCTTCAGGCTTTGGAATGTCAGTAGAACCATTGTATAATTATAATGATTACCCTAAAGAGATGAAGTATCGATTACAGATAGCACAGTACGATGCAAAAAATAATTTATTTTCTAGTAAGTTGAAAAGAAAATTATTGTATGACAAATGTACTTATCCTATCTTTATATATATAATTCTTCTGTGAGTGTGTATGTCACTGAACTTCTCTTAAACGACTGGACCGATTTTGATGAAATTTTTTGTGTGTGTTCAAGGGGATCTGAGAATGGTTTAGATTCACAATTTTGTCCGCTGGACAACCCCTATTTTTTTAGGGCGGTACGAAGTTCGCTGGGTCAGCTAGTTACATATAAAAAAGGTGACCTTATTTTAGTGAAAAATCAAACAGGAGATAAACTCCAAAACATTTATAATGGTCCATTTGTATTAAAGAAGTGTCACCCAATGTAAAAATCTTGAAGGATAATAAGGAATATCTTACACATAAGAATAATACGAAATTGTATTACACTTAAAAATAATAATTATAACTAGATTAATTTTATAACTAAACTTATGTTACTATAATTTTAAGTACTATGGAATTAGCCTTATAATATACTTAACATACATTATGCAACATGACTTAATTGTTCTATCTAATTTTATTTTTTTCCTTTGAAAGGGAAGGGTGAACAGGACTTTTTCCAGGGAGTTGTAGTGTCCCAACTAACAATTTGGTCATTTAACATAAGGCTACTATGACTTATTAGTCATATAAAAGTCATATATATGCAATTCATACAACGTGGCGTTTTACAAATGTTGCTTATACTGCATTTAAGTCTGAAGACTGTTTGGTCCTACATTAAGGCTTTACAAAACGTCTGTACGACTTAGCAATAACAGCTATTTAGCCATAACAAATACATGTCGTACAAAGGTCGTAATTGCAACATTTCCGCGATTTATACAACATGAATATGACGTCTAATAGCTGTTTGGTCTTAGAGAAGTTATAATCGCGACTGCTATATCACTGGTCCTAAATTGAAATTTTTATGACTCTTATATGAGTTTATGGTCATACAACAGACATTACTATAACCGTTTTACAACTGAAATTTAGTTCTTATGACTTTCGTATTCGGAGTCGAGTTGCTGAAATTAGACGTAATGTTTCATCATCATCATCATCATCAGCCTATTAATGTCCCCACTGCTGGGGCACAGGCCTTCCCTGTGGATGGAATAGGGAGGTTGGGCCATGACCCACCACGCGGGCCCAGCGCGGATTGGTGGGTGCTAACGACTGCAGATGCAGCCGGGACCAACGGCTTAACGTGCCTTCCGAAGCACGGAGGAACTCGAGATAGTAAATTTTTGGTCACCTATCCAATAACCGACCACTGCGAAAGTTGCTTAACTTCAACGATCGCAGCCGAACGCGCTAACCACTTGCGCCATCGAGCTCCTCCGTAATGTTTAAAATTGTTTTAAAAAAGTGGAAGCAGTTTAAAAGGAGCGGGAACTATAGGAGGAAAGTTCATCGGAAATTT